ACATATATACATATACATATATATATGTGTATATATATATATATATATATATATACACACACCTAAGATCATGACAGCAATACTATGAACAAAACCAAAACAGTTTTGACTCTTTAAATGAAGAGATATTTATTTTTTCCAGTGAAAAACTATTGGCAAGCATCTCAAACATTTTCGAAAAGATATCAAACGAAAAAAACTATTTGATATCTCAAATGAACATCAATTTAAATAAGGTGCATTACTTAATGATATAAAAATAAAGGCCCCTTGAACTGATGCAAATACATGCATTGGGATTACAAACTGAAAAAGTTCATTCCAGAAGTTCAAAAAAAGTATATATAAAATGACTGAAAGAGATAGAGAGAGAGAGAGAGCGCATCTGTGTATGTGTGTGTGAGATAGTGTTGTCACGGTACCAAAATTGTGACCCACGGTACGATACCAGTGACAGTATCATGGTTCTGAGTAGTATCACAATACCACAGCAAAAATGAGGCAGATGTGCCTTTTGTTATTTATAAAAAGATAAATCACTTCTCTATAATACATCAATGATATTTCGAAAGAATAAATTACTTATTGCAGCATCAATAAGTGATTAACATAGGGGGGATCAAAATAAAATAAATTAATAAAATAAAAATCAACCAGCCACCCTCCTCCCCTGACAAGTCCCTTCATAAGCAAAGAACAGTCCCTAAAGTGCGGTGAGGTTTGTGGACCGTTGCCTGCCACAAAGAGAAATGTGAACGGCTTGTTTCTCCTCTGACACGTCACATACCTGTGTGCTGCCACGGCTCGGCTGTTCAGGTACTTCTGGGCAGTCATGACGCCAAGAAGAGGATATTATTGGACCTGGAGCCGGACTTATCCGTCGCCGGTAAGCCGTTATCTTGCGCCACGGAGCACTATGGCCACTGTATTTGACAGGAATACGTATTCCTGTCTGTGTATGTGACCCCCGTTCAACCCACAACCGGCAGGATACGCCGTTATTGGACGGCGCGCGCTGTTATTGGACGGCGCATGGACACTCACCCTCTTGCGACTGGACTTTGAACTTATCCCACAGCAGTGGTACCTGAGGTACAGTAGTACTATGGTACTCCAACAATATGGTATCATATGTACTGTGGAGTTTTAGTGCCGCGGTCTACCGTTGGTACCAGTATACCGTGCGACAGTAGTGTGAGAGAGAGTGTGCGCATCTGTGTGTGTGTGTGTGAGAGAGACAGTATGTGCGTCTGTGTGTGTGTGAGAGAGACAGTATGCGCGTCTGTGTGAAATTATGACCGAGTTAACGAGTTGTTTTCCGACATGAGGGGGTATTCTTGAATTTTCCTAGTCAGAAAGAGTTTTTCTGATTATGCCGACGTCACTTGAATGCAGCATTCACTGCAGGCCATTCAGGTCTCATAGTGGGAGCGGGGCACTGCCGTGCTGACAAAATTATATATGTTATTGGGCTATTCATTATGATATCGGACTTATCGTAATGACGTAATAACTACCTGTTATCGGCTTGATTATTATCGGCCCGATAGTTATCGTGCATCCCTAGTTATGATGTCACAATGAAGTTGATCTTTGACCTTTGGATATAAAATGTTGTCACTTCATCATTATATCCTTTTAGACATTAGTGTGAAATTTTGTCATAAATAGCATATGAATTCTAGAGTTGTAACAAAATCATGTTTTGTGAGGTCACACTGACCACAAAATTCCCTTACAGTGTTCTGGAGATACCGTGTTCATGAGAATGACATGGATTAAAGGTCACAGTAAACCTTAACCACCTAAATCGAATCAATTCATTGTTGAGTACAAGTAAACGTTAGTGCCAAATTTTAAGAAATTCCCTCAAGGCATTCATGAGATAATGCATTAACAATAATAACACAGCTTTGGGGAATCACTGACCTTTGACCAATGACTTCCAAAATCTTACCAGTCATTGTTGAGTCCAAGTTTGAAAAAACACTCCGAAGGTGTTCTTGAGATACCACGTTCACAAGAATGGGACAGACAGACAGACAACCCAAAAACATAATGCCTCCAGCCACAGCTATCACCGGTGTGGAAGCATAATAAAGTTGTTGGTGAAAAGCAGTTAAAGCTTAATAAATGAGTCCACTTCTCCTCAAAGATGCAGAGTAAACATGCTTCATCTGGTCTTCAAGGAGTTACAACCAGTGGTCGAATTGAGGGGGGATGAGGGGGGATGCCATCCCCTTTGTTAGAAAATTGACCAAAAAGCATCCCCCTTGTTAACTACGTACTTCCCGTATCTGTGCCCTCTGTCCCCCGCACTTTTTACAGGCGTTAAAACCGTTCAATTCGTTTTTAACATGTGGTAACGTGTTTTTCCGAGCCGTCTTTAAACGCACCATGAGTAGACTGCGCCAGGCGCATACACACGCTGTCATGTTCTTATCAGAATCAAGAGTGTGCTGCTGAGCAGTGGCTGTGGTAAAGTTCAGCAAAGCAGCCAGCAAGAAGCAAAAAACCTTGCACAGTTTCTTCCAAACAAAGCGCGTAAGTTGAGTAATGCTGTTGCATGTAGATAATGTTATGTAGTGTAATATTTACTGAAATGTTTATACTGTACCTTTAAGTTGACCTTTAAAGATACGTGTTGAAGCAATGTACTCTGTTTAACTGACAAATCACACACTGGTTTATTATTTTATGTATTCTTATGACACACACACTCACTGAGCACTTAAGCATTGTGGTGGAGAAGTACCTAGGATTAAAAATAGCATGCAGGATGGGCTCAGAAACCACTGGTGGAAAGTTAGGGAAATTACAGCTTGTCCTGATATGACCCTAGAGGAGGCGGGTCTTAGACTGCCCAGAAAAACATTATATGGTGGAATTGGCTCCAAGGGAGAAAAGGAGAGTGGGGAATACTATTATGAATGAGTGCAAGGATTAAAGCAGCCATCAGGGGGAGACAAGAGAAATGTGACACCGTTATGTTTCAGCTCCAAGGGGGAAGGACTAAAGAAAAAGTGGAAACTCAGCAGAAATGTGACACCGTTACGATCAGAGCCAAGTGGGAAGGATTAAGAAAGAGATGACTCAGCAGAAAATCTTCACAATAAAAACGAGTGCGCAAACAAAGAAATTCCAGTCCTGCACCGGAGCTTGACTCATTGAGTTGCGATGTGTTTGTTGCCTGTGAGCACATTAAACTCAGTTGCATCTGATTCTACGTGTCTCCAGTGTTTTGTTTTTTTTTACCTCTGAGTATTTGAGTTTTTGATATCTAATAGAAAACAACGAAAGTCCGTTCGAGAAGAAAGGAACGAGGTTGCGAGCTTTCTGGCCCAGCTCCAGACCTTTGAATTTATGCTTCCACAGTTAGCTAAATGATGACTAATTAATAGATTCCAATATATCAAGTTAAGCTGGTTAACAAGAATACTAATGTTATTGTTACCTATGTAAAATCGCTTGCTAGCTAGTTTCATGCTAGGAAAAAACCCAGGGTCAGGGAGGAGACAGTGGACCAGAGGCCAGCAAGGATGATCATGCAGGGTCTTCACAGGAGAGATTATAACTGGCTGAAAGAAAATATCTAGAGCATAAAAGTGACTTTGAGGTTAATTTCCACAGCTATGTCACCACTATTATTCCTAATTTTATTTATGAATTTTGCTTTGCACATTTATTATCTATATTATTGCAATAGATAGAAAAGGGAAAGGGAGAAACCAGGCAGGTATCAGGACAGGGACCTGACAGCAGCACCAATTATCAGCCCAAGGCTTCACAGGTAAAGAGAAATTATAACTGGCTAAGGAAATGCCTATAGGATAAGAGTGACTCTAAGATTAATTTTCACAGCTAGTTCAGAACTACTCTTATTTATACTCTAAAATGTTTTTTGTCTGTATTGCAATAGCAATACCACTGCATTATTTGTGTTTTTAAAGGCAGCAGGTATAGGTCATGCCATTTTTCTTTATCTTGATTAATTCTGCACATCTGTGCTGTCATATTTGACGATGTGTGCACGCAAAAAAAACAAAGCGACATTGCATCCCCCTTGTTAAAAATTAACAATTCGACCACTGGTTACAACTATTGAGTGTTTAGTTCCCAGTTGAAAATGGGTGTTACCTTGTGCCAGTTGAGCTGTGAAAGGTTGATCTTCTTCACTGAGCCAGGATGCAGTTTATTAATTAGTCTAAGAAAGGAAGAAAAACAATATGTATCAGAATACAATGTGATCTGTCCACTATGGAGAATACATTTTGGTCCAAGTTGTGCCATCACAAACAGACTTACTCGCAGAGGATGACTCCATCTTTCAAGCCTTTCTGAAAGTTCTCTCCAATAGACATTCCTGTTACCTCCTCAATCCAGAAGCGGAGCTCCTCCTCCTTTTGTGGGTCATATTTCTGAGCAATCTGAAAGATGAAACATCATAATGGATCTGCATTCTATTTTGTAAAAATAATTGAATAACAGTAACACTTAACAATAATGCCAACCCAACACTTCTGCTTTTGCACCCATTTTTTATGGGCTAAAGTTAAAGTTCTCTCAAAGTTTTTTTTTCCACAAATTTGTTTAAATCTGTGTTCGTGAGCACTGTATCAAGATAATCCATAATTCATCCACCTGACGCCAGGGTCACACTAAACGTGGAAGTGTCAGGAAGCATGCCAATTTTCTGTGCAGTGCTGCCCACTTGCTTTCGGCCTCCATATTACGCAATTAGACTGTCCACACTGGACGCATCACTGTGCCAAGCATCCTGGCTGGCTCACAATCTGCAGCAATAGTTTTGGCATCTGGTATATTTTTCTCTGCAAGCCGTGAGCCAATATAGCAGGAAAACACACTAAAAATGTATTGTAAATGATATACAGTGTATATTAAATATGATATAAATGATGTGACTATGATCAGTGATAGGATATGGGTGAATTTACCCAGGTATTGCACATATTGATACACTCAACAGAATAGGGTTATAATAACATACCAGTTTCAAGGTATACTGTGTTAAAAAAGTTGATGGTTATTATACCATGTACAGTGCCCTCCAAAAGTATTGGAACAGTGAGTCCAATTCGTTTACTTTTGTTGTCGACTGAAAACATTTGGGTTTGACATCAAAAGATGAATATGAGACAAGAGATCAACATTTAAGCTTTTATTTCCAGGTATTTACATCTGGATCTGATACACAACTTAGAAGATAGCATTATTTGTAAAGGAACACAAAATTTTTAGGTGAGCAAAAGTATTGGAACATATAAACTTAAAATAGATTAAAGTGAATGAGACTTAATATTTAGTTGCAAATCCTTTGCTTTCAATAACAGCATCAAGCCTGTGACCCATTGACATCACCAAACTTTTGCATTCTTCTTTTGTGATGCTTTTCCAGGCTTTCACCGCAGCCTCTTTCAGTTGTTGTTTGTTTTGGGGGGTTACTCCCTTCAGTCTCCTCTTCAGCAGGTAAAATGCATGCTCTATTGGGTTTAAGTCTGGAGACTGACTTGGCCAGTCTAAAACCTTCCACTTCTTGCCCCTGATGAACTCCTTTGTTGTTTTGGCAGTGTGTTTTGGGTCGTTATCTTGCTGCATGATGAAGGATCTCCCAATCAGTTTGGTTGCATCTTTCTTTAAATTAGCAGACAAAATGTTTCTGTAGACTTCTGAGTTCATTTTGCTGCTGCCATCATGTGTTACATCATCAATGAAGATGAAAGAGCCCGTCCCAGAAGAAGCCATGCAAGCCCAAGCCATGACATTACCTCCACCGTGTTTCACAGATGAGCTTGTATGTTTGGGATCATGAGCAGATCCTTTCTTTCTCCAAACTTTCGCCTTTCCATCACTTTGGAAAAAGTTAATCTTTGTCTCATTAGTCCATAAAACTTTTCCCAGAATTTTTGAGGCTCATCTCTGTACCTTTTGGCAAATTCCAGCCTGGCCTTCCTATTCTTCTTGCTAATGAGTGGTTTGCATCTTCTGGTGTAGCCTCTGTACTTTTGTTCATGAAGTCTTCTGCGAACAGTAGATTGTGATACCTTCACTCCTGCCCTCTGGAGGTTGTTGCTGATGTCACTAACAGTTGTTTTAGGGTCTTTCTTTACAGCTCTCACAATGTTTCTGTCATCAACTGCTTCTAGCTACAGAAATTTTAGCCCAAAAAGTGAGAGCAAATAGTAAAATTGAAGGTTTGAGAATACTTACTTTAGAATCAAAAATTTCAATGTATGCGGATGATGTAAATTTCCAAATACAACCAAATATAACAACTTTTACTGCACTAGTTGATGAGTTAAATGATTTTCTAATATTTCTGGTTTAAAGCCTAACTATGAAAAATGTACAGTACTGCGTATAGGGTCCTTAAGAGGCTCCAACTTTGAGTTTTGTTGTGACTTGCCAGTTATATGGTCTGATGGTCCTATAGACATCCTAGGTATACATGTGCGTAGAAATATGGAACATACAGTACAGGCCAAAAGTTTGGACACACCTTCTCATTCAATGCGTTTTCTTTATTTTCATGACTATTTACATTGTAGATTCTCACTGAAGGCATCAAAACTATGAATGAACACATGTGGAGTTATGTACTTAACAAAAAAAGGTGAAATAACTGAAAACATGTTTTATATTCTAGTTTCTTCAAAATAGCCACCCTTTGCTCTGATTACTGCTTTGCACACTCTTGGCATTCTCTCCATGAGCTTCAAGAGGTAGTCACCTGAAATGGTCTCCACTTCACAGGTGTGCCTTATCAGGGTTAATTAGTGGAATTTCTTGCTTTATCAATGGGGTTGGGACCATCAGTTGTGTTGTGCAGAAGTCAGGTTAATACACAGCCGACAGCCCTATTGGACAACTGTTAAAATTCATATTATGGCAAGAACCAATCAGCTAACTAAAGAAAAACGAGTGGCCATCATTACTTTAAGAAATGAAGGTCAGTCAGTCCGGAAAATTGCAAAAACTTTAAATGTGTCCCCAAGTGGAGTCGCAAAAACCATCAAGCGCTACAAGGAAACTGGCACACATGAGGACCGACCCAGGAAAGGAAGACCAAGAGTCACCTCTGCTTCTGAGGATAAGTTCATCCGAGTCACCAGCCTCAGAAATGGCAAGTTAACAGCAGCTCAGATCAGAGACCAGATGAATGCCACACAGAGTTGTAGCAGCAGACCCATCTCTAGAACAACTGTTAAGAGGAGACTGCGCCAATCAGGCCTTCATGGTCAAATAGCTGCTAGGAAACCACTGCTAAGGAGAGGCAACAAGCAGAAGAGATTTGTTTGGGCCAAGAAACACAAGGAATGGACATTAGACCAGTGGAAATCTGTGCTTTGGTCTGATGAGTCCAAATTTGAGATCTTTGGTTCCAACCGCCGTGTCTTTGTGAGACGCAGAAAAGGTGAACGGATGGATTCCACATGCCTGGTTCCCACTGTGAAGCATGGAGGAGGAGGTGTGATGGTGTGGGGGTGTTTTGCTGGTGACACTGTTGGGGATTTATTCAAAATTGAAGGCACACTGAACCAGCATGGCTACCACACATGGGAAAATAATAGTGTTAAATTCTTTAGTGATCCCTCATTTTTTTTCTTATGACATTACCATCACCAAAGGAGGACCTTTTTAAAAAATATGAAAGAATGTTTTTTGTTTTTTTATGGAGCGGCAAGCCAGACAAAATAAAGCGTGGTTACCTATATAACGATTACAGCCATGGTGGGCTTAAACTATTGAGCCTCAGAGCACTTAACTTTGCATTGAAGCCATCCCTTATGCCCAAATTTAACTCAATTCCCCAGTGGTTTTCAGCAAAGCTATTAACAAACTTTCATCCTCTTTTTCATAAACAACTTTATCCTTATTTTCAGTTAACTGCCTCTCAATTTGCTCTGTTGACAAGAAAAGCTTTTCCTTATCTATCGGGTTCCTTGGAAGAAGTTATAGTTAGTTGGCTTCAATACCAATACCATCAACCTGAATCATCTCATGAAATTCAAAGTCAATTGTTATGGTACAACAGTAATATTATGATTTACAATATGTCCTTTTTTATTGAATCAATGTTTACAGTGGGTTTATTATTTATAAATGACCTCTCAAATAGTAAAGGTGAAATTATGTCTTACAATGAAATGACTACTATATGTGGTAATGTTTGTGACTCCTTGACATATAACCAACTTTGGGCAGCTATTCCACAGACTTGGAAGAGGAAATTATCATTAAGCTCAAAACAACTTGTATGTTGCCCTGCTATCAAGGATAGAACATGGGTAAATAAGAGGAAGATAAATAAAAAAATATATCACTTCTGTATGTACAAAAAAAAAAAAAAAAAAAAAAAATTGCAGTGGCACCGGTTGCTGTATGTTCAAAATGGGAGGATCTCTCTGATTTATGTATTCCATGGAAAAAAGTTTTTACAAACATTTATACAACCACTTTTGATGTTTCTATTAGAATTATACAGCTAAAAATCATTTACTGTTATTTGCCCACCAAAATAAGACTCAAAAAATGGGGCATCCAACAATGTGACTTAAGCAGATTTTGTGAAGAGGAAGAGGAGTCAGATCTTCACTTATTTTGGTATTGTAAGGAAGTTGCACCTTTTTGGATTAGAGTAGGTCAATGGATTTCTGTTTATAGCCCAAGCTTTTACAGCTGCCTTCTAACTATTATGTTTGGTGATTTAAGGGATGAAATAGAAGGAAAAGACTTGAATAATATCATCACTATGATGGGAAAAGCCTTTATATTTAAAGCTACAAAAAAACAACAGTTAAACATTGAACGTTTCAAAATGTTTTTGAAATTTCAGTGGAGTATAGAAAAAGATGTTAATAGAAACAAAGAACAGTGTGTAATTTTTGAACATGGGTGGGAAACTTTGAGTCAGGGTGAAGACTGGTCTTAAAAACAAAAATTGTGGTGACAGAAGGCCTTTGTTTATTTTTGCCTGTTTTTCTTCTTTTGTTATTTATTTATTTATTATTATTATTATTATTATTTTCCCCCATGAAATCTAATCTCTTTAAACTACAACAGGAAGCCAATTTATCTTCACTGTTTCTTTGATCATTAAGTTTGTAGGCTGCTGTTTGTCCTGTTGATGGCGGTATTTGTTTTTTGTGTGTTTTTGTGAAGATGTATGTTTTGTTGTTTTCGTGCCTTGGTTTTGTAAACTGTGTGCTGTGTGTTATATATCTTTAGACATGCTTGTGTCTTGTCCCTGTATTTTGTTGTTGCTGTTTTGTGTTTAATAAAGAAAAAAAAAGAAAAAAAAAGACTTTTTTCACATACCTCCATTAACAAGATGGTTTCAATTATAGTAATAGAATGTTTGTTCAACCAACAATGAGCTGTTTTCATTTCTTTAAGGGTCATTCTGACT